TTGGGGGGGGGGGGGGGGGGTTTCTTTTCTGTAGATGACTTGACTTGACTTTCTGTTGTGTTACGATGGTACGGTTTAGCATTCACGGGCGCTCGTTTTCTGTGCTGTGGCTGTGGTTGGGCTATATATGTATGAATGACAGGCTAGGGCAAGACTGGGTTGGTGGATGAGAACGATTAGGCAAAAGGGTGGTTTTTTGACTTGTGTTTTTTTGTCCACAAGAGGAATTTGTGGATAGCGATAGCATGGGGTGGACATTTTCACAGCGTTTTGCGCGCATGTTGTGTTGCATGTTTTTTGCGTGCGCGGTATAGCTGTCTAGCTTAGACTGCATTCATCATCATCATCAGCTTGTTCCGAGTGTTTAGATGAGGGAGACAGCATGAGTGTCCATGAGCGCAATATCGAATACAAAATACAGAATTATGTCATTTCTCAACTTTCTCACTAGTTACGATCATCTCACGTTTCACATCCTATCACAAGCCTAATCTCACCTTGATGTGCTCACAATTACTTAACGGCATCCGTACCAAACTACGGATTACCAGAACAAGATAAGATAAGACAAGACAAGCAACGCCGCCATTGTTCAACGGCTTTCCCGGCTTTTCCCCGCATACGTTCGTGTTGATAACGTGGCTGCGGGTGCTGATCTTACCTGCGAACGGGAGGGGGATGCGAGCATTTGCCCGTGTCTTCCCGTTGTGCTTCCGTTTGGTATTTGCGTCTGCGTTGTTTTTTTCCTGTTTGGAGGCGGGATGGCGCGGATGAAGAGGTGAGGATGGGGGGAATTATGTAAACGGTGTAAACTGGAAGATTTACAAGTTTCTTACCAGGTGTGGGGATGCTTGAGGTGAAAGATGGGTGTGTAGACATGGACTTTGGTTGTGATAGCATGTTGTAGAACATGGATATTGATTCTCGTGTCTGGATCAAAGATGTATACTTTTCTCGTTTCCCTAACTCTAATCTTTGCATTTTTCTATGGTTATTTTCCGAATATACTCCACTTTGGCGGGTGTATATAGTTGCAGGCGCGGTATAAACCCGCTACCCTACCTGCGTGGTGCTGTGCTGCGGGGTTGCTTACAATAGTCACACCGCATCTTAACCAACGTAAACGTTGATCCCGGACCTAACTATCCAATCCCAGCTCTTCTCCTTTCCACCCAATTTTCAAGCCTAACTTGGGCCTTTTTTCCTCGCTTTTGTCCAACGCCCTACATTTGGCCTTCAGACACCCAAGCCCAGCAGACAAAGTAGGTACAGCAACCGGATACCGCCCCACACACACACACATGAACCTTAACGGTCCGGTGAAAAAAACCCGCACCCGCATGCCAGCTCGCATCTCACAAATCGTTAGTTCTCGGACCGTTAACCCAACCTATTAAGCACAGACAAGCACCCCCGCAGTCGCCCTAAGAAATGCTTATCACAACTAAGCCTAGCGAATTTCAGACTTAAGCCTGGTGGAGTGGAGGAGGGGGGTGGCTTAGTGGTGCTTGGGTTAGCTTACCCTATATACTACTACTACTGGGTTTGGTATATAGGTATGTATAGCCGGGCGCTTGCTGCTGCATGCTGTGAGTAGTATGGGCGTACTGGTTGATGTTGGGGCTGCATGTATGGCTAGCTGGCTGCGAGTTTGGTGTTGGTGTTGGCGCTTTTCTGGTGCGGTGCTGTAGGTGTGTGTAGGTAGGTAGGTAGGTAGGTAGGTAGGTGTATGCGGGTGAGATGATGGTCTGTGTGAGACTGGTAACGCGAATAAGTGTCGGGTACCGGTACCGGCTGCGCTGCAAAAGGTAAAATGTGTATGTAAGATGCGAGATGCACCAAATGGTATTACGAGAGTGGCGTGATGGGAAATTGAGTGTGCGAGCTGAGTGTGTGCACGTGTGTAGGTGTGAACGGTGAAATGTGTGTGTGGGGGTTAGATAGGTGGAGCTGGAGGGGAGGCGAGCTAGTGACTAATGTAATAGGGTGGGAGTTTCGGTTTTGTGTGGTGGGCTAAGATGTGTGGTGTGGTAGATGCATGGTAGGTGGGATGGGGGAAGGAGTCGCTTGTGCGATGACGGAGGTGTGTAGAGTAAAATATGTGCTTCTTCGATTTAAGTATCTAGCGACAAATCCATGTACAACAAAACACCAACAGTCGAACAATTCGAAACCGCGAAAACAGAAAAAGCGCAGAGTAAACTGTCCTACACACACACTTCTTACCACATCTCCCACACCCCCGCCGGCAACACACTCCTCATAATCCTCCAATGACTAACCGCGCCATCCTTATGAAACTTCTCCAAAGCCCCTACATCCTTATTCCCCATGACCTTCCCGCCTTCTTCCTCCCTCACAAACTCATACTTGACCTCCAATGCCTCCCTCGGCTGTAAAAAGTTATTCCTCGCAAGACTACCCAGCAAATCCTTTGCCGTCGCATCCCTAAACCGAATAGCCTTCTTCCCCAACTCATGATCTCTTTTCACGCAAAAAACAACCATGTTGATGAAATCGGCATCACCCTCTTTATGGTCTTCGCGCGGCGGCGTGTCGCGAAAGAGGCGGCAGGCGGGGAAGATGGCGTGGATGGTGTTGAGGACGAGTTTGGTGGAGCCTAGACTGAGGTCTCCGGCGTAGTTTATCGCGACGACGCCGTCGTCTTTAAGGAGGTCGTACAGACCTTGCATGAATTCTGTGGTGAAGAGGTAGACGGGTTCTGCGCCGCCCGTGAAGACGTCGTGCATGATGTAGTCGAAGCTTCCTGGGGCGGACACGGAGGTGCGGGCGACGTAGGCGGTGGCGTCGTCGATGACGGCCGTGTGTTTGGGACTCAGGTTGAAGTACTTGGTTGCGTAGTAGTGTACGACGGGGTCGAGCTCGACGATGGTGGTGTTGAGGCCGTGGGCGATCATGGCGTTGGGTGCGGTGCCGATGCCGAGACCGATTACCAAAGCCGACTTTTCGCTGTCGGGGAGGGTGGGGAGTGAGGGTACGGCGGGTTCTACGAGGCGGACGGCTTCGAGGAGGACGAAGACGGCGAAGATGGATTCGCGTTGGCGTTGGCCTTTGGAGTAGGCGTCGGGTGTTACGAGCCATTCGCCTCCGAGGAGGGAGTGGTCGCAGCGGAGGAGGCGGAAGGCATTGTCTGCGTCATTTTCGATGACGGAGACGTAGCCTGTGATTGATTCTTGGCGAGCAAGAATTGTAAAGTTTTGCGTGGCTTGGAGAGTAGAGTTTGCCAGTTGGAAGCCGTGAGCCGAGGGATGATGCGGGTTGGCCCAAAGTGTGTGAAGGATAGCTGGAAAAGCGAAGACGATGACGCGGGATGGGGTGAGGAAAGCAGAGGCAGATGCGAGCAACAACTGCATTCCAATGCGGGTGAAGTAGATGGATGTGCCGATGAAGTTTGGAATGAGCGCGCTGCTCATCTTGGCCACGGTAGAAATGGTAAAGTACGATGCGGTAGGAATGATGGCCTCCTTCAATGGTGATGACTGATATCCAATAAGATCGAAGCAATCGAAGAAGTCCATGGCGCCGTAAACCGATAGGAATAGCAGAGGGAAGTATGTTAGGGATTCGACGATGAATGGTCCGTACTCAATACCGAGTTTCTCACTGTACTGGAAGAGCAGGAATTGTATAACAGGCGTCCAGTATGCAACCACAGCGATGTACTGGGAAACATTCACAGACACATAGCTCTTGAGTCCTCGTCTTACCAGCAGGGCTGCGACGGCAGTGAGTGTCATAGTCCGCTGGTGGTGCAGGGATGCTGGAATGGATCCATAGACGGGCGACAAGTTGAGCTGCGAAATGGGAGATGCAACGCCTGCAATTAACAGAAGTGCCATTGCCCTTCCGATACTGATGAGAAATTCCGGTGCCGTCATACGCGGAGTCTGTTTCTGCGCCTCCTTGGCCGCCTTTGGCTTCTTCTGCGTCTTTTGTTTTGAAGACATGATGTACACGATCTATCTCTTTCTCCCAATGAACAATGTTATGAAGATACGTCGAAAGATGCAGAAGTGACAGATATGTACAGTGCAAAAGACCAGATATGGCGTAAATGTACCAAGCTCTTCGCCCACTATATAACGGACCGTGTTTCCGCAACGTAACTTGTATTCGGCCTGCGAAGAAGGACCACCACAAAGATGAAAGTGCAAGAAAAGAAAGCCAGGCCAATGCTGAAGATGGAAAGAAAGAAGACGGGGATGAGATGGAATTAGATTAAGAAGCCAGCTGTTCCTTGCTGGACCCTTGACGCGCGGGTGAAACGGTTGTTCATTAAGTGTGGAGTTGTTTCGACTGGGCGCGTTTCGCAGTAACTTAGTTAGCGTAGCCTGTAGCGCGAGCCGCCCGTGTGGCGTCATTCCCCATGCTTGTCGACATTCACTCTCAACAACGCCCACCACGATAAATAGCATTGAGGATAGTTGAGGCGCTATTCGGATTAGTATGCCATATATGACAGGATCTCCCATCATGGCGCCTCTCGTCCTCCGACCTGCGAATGCGCCGGATGCCGCAAAGCACCCCGCCGCGACATACACAACCGAGGATATGGACATGGACGACGACGTAGATGATACCCTTCTGCGCGAGCAAATGCGCCAGCAGCAAGATGAACGCGCACAACGACTCCAAGCAAAAAACCGGCGTAAACGCTACCTCGAAGTGCATCCCGAGTACTTCTCCGATGCCTCGCTCGAACTCGCCGATCCGCTCCTTTACGACCGCCTCATACGCCGCTTCCAATCAGCATCAGAGCGCGAAGCCGAAGGACGAAAAAAGGGCTTCTCAGGTCAAATGTCCGCGGATCTCTGGCGCGCAGAGGCGAAGAAAGACGCGCTGTCGCAACCCGACCCCAACTCGCTCTTCACATATAGCCGCGGACCGCAAGGGGAGATTGTAGAAGAAGACAAGGACGATATCCCCATGACAAAAGAGGAAGGCCAGGCATGGTGGGTGGACGAGATGACACAACGCTTTCTACGAGGCGGCGACGACGACTTCGACTATGCCAAGCTCGTCGACGGCAATGCCCAGTACGATGATCCAGAGCAGGAGAGGGATTTGGAAGAGGCCTACTTTGAGAGTATGGAGAGCGATTTTGATTCGGATGGGGAGGGCAAGGAGAAGGTGTTGGTGGGGGAGACGGGTATACAGGATTATTGAAAGTCTGGCCAGGCTGAGACGCTTGCGAAAAGGGAATACGAGTACAGACGGGGTTTTTGGGGGTTGCAAGCGTAAGAGCAGAAGCGTATGAGTACGTTGTTACACACTGATTGGATCGAGGCACAGTGCTAACGGTACTGCTAGGTTGTACTTGCACGCAACTGCCCAATTACCAACCTCGCCCTGCTTCTCGACGACCCGATGCCCGATTCTCCCCTTCACCCGATGATTTCCCTGCAACATGGTCAACTTCCATAATTGTTATTTGTTCACTTAGCTGTGAAAACCCTTTTCGTATCCAGCGTCGCGAGTGGCCCGGGGCTGTTCTCTTGGCTGGTTGAACCTTGGTTCGGCGCATGGTAACATCTCGGTACCAGCTCTAGCTTTTGAGCCCACTGACTCACATGCAAATATAAAATCCGCGCACAGCTCCCTTTCCTCATCCACCGACACAAACCCTCAGATACCACGCTTCCGAATCGCATCCACCGAACATCATCCACGACCATCGACCCTACCAACATCACCTTATACTACAACCCTCCGCGCTCCGCGTCAGAGCAAAAGCGGAAACACCTTTACTTATAAATCCCCCATCGACACTTATTTCACCACGATGCCCGAATATTCCCTTGGGGCAGAGAGACTTCATTCTCGTCAGCGAACGTCGCGAGCGTAGGGAAAAGCTCTACGCCGAGGATTAAAAAAGGATCGAAGCAACCCAAATACCGCGCAATCCTCCGGCCGATCGCCCCTTCACGCTAAGGTCCTGTCGACAGGCTGTGACTCTCTGAGACGTTTGCAAGGGGTCGGACCAGATTGCCAGCACCATTAATGCTGTAGAGAGCCTAACGTTCGATATGACTACAGGGGCATGGGATTGTGAGTCCAATCGCAGATTCTACTTGGATCAGAAGATGCGGGAGTGGTTGGAACAAGCACTCATACTACATGGGTATTCCTTTGTAATGTGGCTATGCGATCTGGAACCCGGTAAAGAGCTCGCTGCCTATCGTCCTCGCGAGAGTGAGACACCTCCTTTACCTGACTGGCTTTTACTCGACTGCATTTTCTTTCGCAAATTCGGCAAAGATATTTACACCGGAATCGACATGGATGATGGCAGTCCTTTTATAACACTTGAGTAGTTCACACTCTCATTGTGACGTCGCCTGGTGCGCTTTTCGTAAACGACCAAACAACAGTCACCTGGAAGTCCCAGGACCCTATGATTCACACCCCTAAGAAACGAGGATGGCGCTCGTTCCGTAAATCCATGGAGCCTCGCATGGATGGATTGTACTGTGGTTCCTATCAGACGTGGATACGTTTGGCGGAAAGCTCGAGCGGTATACGAAAACTTAGTAATTGGAGTAGAAGATGTCCGCGTAAATTCTGCAGCTTTGAACGCCAGGTGTAGAATTATATCATAGAATGCATTAATGTTAAATCTACAAGCAGTTCTAAACTCAATGTACATAATTAACGTGCAAAACAGACCGAAGGCTTCATCCCCCTTCTGCACCCGAGACAGAGCAAGACAAAAAAGACGGCCAATGCAATAGCCTTCACGACGCATCAAATAATAAATTGCCTCGGAATCATCTTTCTTCTAAGAGGAGCAAACTTCAGTCGAGTTCTAGAAACCCTTTTGCCCCAATATCAACACAAATTGCGGATACATTGGGCGTGGGGTCGCGACTTCTTACTGTAAAGAAATCCATGGTAAAGAGTGTCCGGTGGCCCGCACCTCCCATCCCTGACATCCTCGCTCTGGGAAACTGCCACATGGCATGACGTGGTCAGCGCAGCCGCCGCGCTACGTAAGCGACTTTGCCCTTTATAATCTTCTGAACGTCTTGTCTTCTACAACACCACAACATCACACCCATCTCATTACACCCATCTCATCCACCATCATTTGTTTATCATGAACCATCTATCATCAATTGTCTATCATCACACAGTTTCTCCGTCTCGACATGGCCACTAGTTCCACTCACTCGGACACGAGCCCAGGCAACTATTATTACACAGTCAGCCCACGACGACGAAGACATGGCATGGCGACTAGTTCCAGCTCCTCCACCTTCGGGCTCAACGAACGATCCTCACGAACACAGACGACTGTACCCATCAGACACGACATAGGCAGATATTATTACACAATCTATATCAGCATGGACACACGCCCAGAGAAACCTACCTCTCCCTCTCCGTCTAGTCGGAACAAAAGAACCTCACGAACAAAGACGGTCATACCTGTTAGATACGACACACGTGTTTATTATTACACAGTCTGTCGACATAGACATGGCGACCAGTTTTACCAGCCTCCACTGTCAAGCCTCACAGAGCTAGATGAGCTAGAGACACAATGCCACGCAAGCCCTCATACGAAGAGCCTAGAGATAGTACCTTAGGAATAGGACTTCCAGAGACCGTCGACTAAGGAAGATACGAAAAAATTGGAGTGGGCAAACAAAATCCTATTTGATACTCCGAGAGAATCCAGCCACGACCTTGGCGCCATAGGGTGTGTATATCCACCTTGGACAAGTTGATCGTTGTTTTGCTAATATACCGTCTTATAGATTTCATGTATTCGAGTACATGTGGATTAGCGCATTGCGCCGGTGACAAGCCTCATGACTTGCGCCTTGTGGTGACGGACGAACCACAACTGCAACAATTATAGCGTAGATCCAGAGCGACGAAGAGCAGGAGGACTTTCTCTCGTGTGCATGGCGATACATGATATAATTAGACCTTTCATTAAACAAATTAGTTCATCATGAAGCTTGAGATTGGTTTGATTAATGTATTTTTTTTGAAGTTGTCGGTGTTGATACGGCAAAGGTGAGGTTAAATCAAGTAACGGTCGTTGCAACGAGTTGAATTAGATGGTTATGATTGATTAGAGGAGGTGGGCTGCAGCTCGCGTACGAACTGAATCCCACCCCACGGCACGGGCCACGCACGTAGTCACGTGCTCGCCACGTACGTACGGTGGCTCGAAACTAAGAGCAACCAACAGTCGGATCACAGATATCAACGATATCTCAGCCACGCGATCGGCCGCACTGATCTCGGTCACGCGAGCAGGCGCACGGATCGCGGCGTCCGAGCAGCGCTCAGACCAGACCTCCTATATCTAGCTCTTCCATAGTTCTCCTTCGCAATCAATCAGAACAACCACACAGAATGCATTCCTAGTTATCGTTATTTCCTTTCAGCACTAGTGCTATAGACCTACCAACACCATATGTAATTAAGAGTCTGCTAGAATAATGTATGGCAGCGCAACAGATATACGTATGCTCTGCGCTGCTGTGCTGCCTGAGTGATGTGAGAGGATTAATAAAGCGAGCACGGTGCATAATCAAGATTGAAGCTTTCATCGGAAAAGTCATCTCAGATTCTATTTGCAAATAAGAGATCTATATGCATCATGCAATGGTATATACAAAGACTTGTTCCACCCAGCTCATCAGAAAAACGCCGCGCTACAAAAAATTCATAGATGTCATATCCCATGGTGATTTTTAGACCTTGACCTCAACCATCCTCGCCTCAACATCCTTCTCGAGAGAAAGCTTCTCAGCGTCAACGGGGCCGACCTCGCTAACACCAACATGGCTCTCATTATAAGCATCGAGCTCAGCACCCTTTGCCATGTTAAGGTAGATAGGGTAACTCCACGCGATAGCGAAGAAGATAAGCGGGATGCACATAGCCTTCCTCGTACCAATGCTATCAGCCACGTTACCGAGGATAACAGGGCCAACAGCACCACCGCAGACGGAGGAAACGAGGAAAGAAGCACCACGCTTAGTGTGGCGACCAAGACCGCGAAGCGTAAGAGCGAAGATGATTGGGAAAATACAAGACTCGAAGAATAGCACAATCATCAACATGCTCAGACCACCCCAGTTAGGGCGGTTCGCGCCGCCGGTGTTTGTGCCAATGGCCGCGGAGATGAAGATCATGATGAGAGTTTGGAAAGCAAGGAGCACGTAGCGCGGCTTTCCACCAAAGTACATGAGACCAGCGGCGGCGAAACGACCAATGGCGAAGAGTCCTTGGGCGATGGCGTAGAAGTTGGCGCCCTGGTGGTGGCCTTCGGTGACACTGAGATCGGGACGTGCTTCAGCGAAGTAGTTGATGAAGTAAGCGGCGACACCGACTTGGCCGGCAACGTAGGAGAACTGAGCGGCGGTACCCCAGAAGAGAGTGTATTGCTTTCGGAGCGGCTTGTCAACGTAGCCCGTGGTGTCGTTTGTCATCTCGGCTTGGTCGGCCATGTCGGAGTCTGTGATTTCGGGGATAGGAGCGAAGAAGAAGACTACGGCTAGGATACCGACAAAGGCTGCGATTCCGAGGTAGACCCATTGCACAGCTTCGAGCGACTTGCCGTCAGTGCCTACGTTCTTGAAGATGACTTGGGCGGCGAGGACGGGGGCGACGACGGAACCGACAGCCTGGACGGACTGAGACAGCTCGAGACGGAATTCAGACCACTTGGGAGGACCGCAGACGGCACTAGAGAGGTTGTCGTCAGTACAAAATTTATGCCAGGACATGATCACGTGATTCACTATTCATGTGGTATAACTTACATGTATGGGTTGGCACTGGTTTCCAAGGTAGATAAACCAGATCCAGCAATAAACATGGCTCCACAGAAGCCGCCGAAGCTTCGCTTGACTGCCGCGGGCCAAAACATGAGGGCTCCGACACAGTAGATGGAAAGTCCCAGGATGAATGTATATCGGTATCCGAACCTCCTCAAGAACCAGCCCGAATAGGTTAGCGGCCCCACGAAATAAGCGCCGAAGTAGCTAGCTTGTAGAGCAGAGGATTGTCCACGGGTGATGTCCAGAGCAACTTGAAATCGCGAGTTGAGCACATCGAGAAGACCATAGGCAAAACCCCACATGAAGAATAGCGTTGTGACCAGGGCAACCGGGATAATAGATTGACGAGCAGTCAGAGCAGAAGCTCCAGTAACAACACGGTTGTCGACAGATTTGCGTCGAACTTGGTTATCAATGACCTCGGCGACTGAGGGACGACGAGCTTGCTGCTCGTGAACTTGGTCCATGGTAGGCTCGAGCGAGCTCTTGTTACCAAAGAGACCCATGGCAAAGTACAATGGAGAGAAAGAACGAGGAGATTGAGGTATATAAGCCTGGAGATCTCAACTAATTGTCGAGGCGAAGAGCGATGAGCTGATGAGGGGTTTTTTGGATGGGGAAGCCATAGCTCAATATATATCGCTTCCTCTTCACACGTCCCTAGATACCATGGTCATGGTAGAAGCTCTCGACATGGGGCTGGTGTGCCATCCAGGCTCGATAGCGGGTACGATAGCCCCTCCGGTAGTTCTCCGCTGGCATTGGTTCAGTCTAGCGGGGGCCCCAGAGCCGGGGGTTTGGTGGTGGGCTTGGATTTCGCCTTTCGCCTTCTCGCCGCATGCATTATCCACATGTCGCTAAACGCCTCGCCCCGTCGACGCTAAACCCCAGAGTCCGCAAATTTTTCGCCGACTATTCGTCTGGTAGGCTGGGTTATGTTCGGCCTGCCCCAGTAGCTTGTAAATCCAGCCGAGAATACTGCCGGGAAACATCGGATGATGCGGCGTTTTAGCCAATCGAAACTTTTGTCGCGCTTGCGCTAGGAAACATGTGTGCACGATCCCTCCGTGAGGGGTCCCACTTAATCGTTCAGCCTCATGAGATAGGTCCTTCTCGTACGGGGCTCCATTCTATTTCTCCACGTTGCCAACCCCGTGGAGAGACCCTAGCAAAGAAAAACTGGGCTGGTCACTGTGGACTGTGGGTGTTGTCCCACATGGAGAGATCTTAGCGAAAGGGACGAAGGGCTGCTAAGTCGCACATCAGCTGTACCCCGCTGTTGATCTCTACCACGCGGACTGTGTGTATGATGGGGCCCAAGGGTCTTTTCCACCAAACTTCTAGAAAGCCGTTCACAAGCAATGACGAGAGAGGCTTGTAGGTGCTGCGGGTAATAGCGCCAGGCAAACCAAGAAGGTTTGGGCTGCACCAAGCGTTTTTGAAGTCTTGACACCATGATTCCTGCCTAGCGTTGGTGCGTGCCACGGCCTTGTGAGCCAGTAGCCTCTGGGCCCTTGGCGCTCTGGGCAGAATGACTTGAAGGCATTGTTGAGACTTGTGGCTGAAGTCCAGGGTGGGCTCGTATGGCCTCGAGCGTGAATTGGGAGCTGTTGGCGCGATTTCTCATGTCGTGGCTGCGCGGTATCGGTAGTTTTCACTGCGGTGTGCACTTCGGCTCCCAACACAAGCGAATTTGGTTTAGATTCATCATGTTTATGGAATTCTTTGAATTCTTTGCGACGATTTCAGCGGCATCAAGTGATATGAAGAAAGTCTTGTAGATTTCTTAGACATCTGTCTGAATCTTGCGTCCACCTTGGGCGTCTCCGTCAGCGGCGTAGTGCGTGTCTTTGCAGTTGACAGCCGTCACACCCGTAGTCTGTCCGCCCGATAATGACGATCTGTAGTTCCTGGGGAACGCTGAACAGTAGCTCAAAGCTCACTGCAACCCATAGCTTACCCCTCCACGGGGATGTAAGCGCCATGGTGTTGGACTGGAAGCTGGGGTCGGCATCTCAACGACTTCTTCTAGCATTCTTCTAGCGCGCTTCTTTTGCATCTGCCTATCCATGACGTGTGGCCGTCTCGTCTCGGTGCCACTCCGCTGCTACTTGATCATTGGCTCTAAAAGTTTGCCTCGGGGGGTTTGTCGGATGCCGTTGCACACTCACGTGAATGCTCTTGGCTCTAAGCTTGGGACGGCTACGGGTTGAAGCGCCTTTTTTTAGCAGACTTGCTAGCCCCAACCGGACTGAGACGCGGGAGCCATAATCGAGCGCACGATAGAAAAGGAATATTTCGCCGCTGGAAGCCGATAATGAAGGCCGCATATCGCTCTTTTTTCGTGGGTGCGTCTGGGGTTGTGTGGAGGTTGAGCCCGAGCGATTGCGGAGATGAGCCCCTGGGCCGGAGTCGTATCTCTTAGTGTACGTACATACATGGAGTGACATCCTTCTCAAAGCCGTGATGACGCCTACACACTATGGGTACCCAGAGATTGAGCGTAACGCGGAAGAGACAGGGTACCTTTGCAAATACAGTAGCTGAAGGATAGAGTTCCATCGACTAGGTGTTCACTCCTGTCATCACCAAACCTGCCGGCTTCAAGGCTTTTCTTGATTCTACCACTCCTCTTCATCTCTCCAGACCTCCACTTCGAATTGTGCTTCGTCTACCATATTCCAGAAGTAACTACCACTACGCTTCTCCAGCAGCGACCTCAGTTCTCGCTCGGAAAACGTTGCGCCGAACAGTATCTTCAGCTTCTTGAAAGCTGGCCACATATTCATCTTCTTCTGATCCTCAAAAAGCCCTGTCAGCCATGCCGACGACGGGAAGATTGCATCAGCGTCGAAGACGGTCAACTCCACCAAGCAAGGCGGCAAAGACTGCGCGGGAGAAAGCTCGAAATCTCCCATGAAGACAGCGTCGAAGCGCATGTTATCCAACTTGATCGATATCAGTGCTGCCTGAGGAACGATGAGCCGCTTCAGTTGTGAGAATTGCGTGAAGCGGGGTAGAGGTTTCTGGACTGCGCCCGGCAACGTCCAAAAGCCACCTGGTAGCTGTAAGAGTTGCAAGCTATTGTGAAGATGCTCAAGGTTGTCGACGAGGTATTGGTAATCCGTCACTTCGGTGCGGGCATCGTATATCGCGCGATCTAGTAACCGTCAGCAACAAGCCTTGAAGTTCGGGTGGCTAAAGTAGTACCCCAAGTTTGCTCATCCACAGCGACATCGTTTGTGAACGACGACGTAGAGTCGGGGTAATATTGGATATTTGCTTGATAGGCGGGGAATGCCCGCACACTTCTATATGGGTTCTTGGATGCTGAGGACTCCGCGTAGTAGGTAAGGCTTTCCAAGTCGCTGAAGGCATGTATGATGTTATTCATATATGCTCGGGACGTGGTATTCCATATGCCCACTGTCTTAACTTCGAAATCGAGACGTATATGCTGTATATTATGGGAAAGCCTATACGGTATTCCGACACCTCGGAACATTTCAGATTCATCGAGGATTTCGATAGCTCCACGGCCTTGTATCTTGAGGCTTAGATCCAGCGTTTGTAGTCTTGGGCATTCGAGAAGACCATCAGGGACTATCATCATAGATCTTTCGACTTTCAGATATGAGAGCGCATGTCCACTCTTCATTCCCGTTCTTGACCAATGTGTTGGGCCCGTTAAGTATGGGTCTGAAATGCACAATGTCTCGAGGTGTGGTAGTAGTGACAGAAGAACAGGTACGGATCTCTCTACAAGGTTACCGAACGGTGTCACAAAACCAACCCTTTGCGATGGACGTGGGAAATTCAGTCTGGTTTCTAGCCGTGACATTTGACTCTCAAGATCACTGAGCACGGCAGGTGAAACCGACATGGCTGCGTCATTGTCAGGGTTATGCGGCTCACCATCTGTTCTTTCCGACCAGCATATTCTCAGCTGCTTGATATATCGACTAAGCTCCGGATTCTGACGTAGTTTGCGCACAAAGCTAACGATTCCACAAGACTCAAACTCCGCCAAAGTGTGCGGAAAGGTTGCGTCGAGCACAGGAGCATACAGAAGCACTTCTTGGGCAAAATGCGCGAATCGCTTGCATGTAAGAGCGAGGTTTCGCACTGAGCATTTGCGGAAGTCTTCGATGAGATACTGATCCACTGGTGTCGGAGGCGGGTCATCTGGAATATAGCCCAGGATGCGTGCCTCGCGATGGAAGTCGACGTACGAAAAGATTAATAGCAGTATCTCGTTGGGTAGATGGTTCATTGACTTGATGTTGGGGGCTACGGTACCTAGTCAGCGGACAGGATTCGTGATGTTCTGGGTGAGCGTTCGTTTAGCTGCATGAGATGACCTCAGGTACTTACTCAGACTCCGCAACAATCAATCGATTGACATGATTGATTCCTATATAGGTTAAAGAATTACTTCATTAGGCAGCCTTTAACCTAGATAGGAATCAATCATGCCGATCCGATTGATTGTTGCGGAGTCTGGTACCTGGCCTGACTTACGACGTGATTCTGGGAAAGCCCTGGTTAGAGGATGCCGACGTCACAATTTCGGCCAAACAAGGCTGCCTGGATATCGGCGCATCAAACATCCGCGCATGGAACCACAAGAAAGCGTCATACAAGCCACCACCAATGAAGGCTACTCAGGTGATGGCTTCCGCATTCATGGCGGAGGTGAGAAGAAGCCGTAGGAAGAACAAAGGAGACGGTATTGCGCTCGACACTGGACTGTTCGCTGTTTCCATCGCCGACATTGAGAAAGCTTTGAAACCGCGCAAACGATCCGATCCGAAGACGAAGCTCCCACCCCAGTACCACCAATGGCTGAAGGCTTTCGACCATTTCCTAGCTGAGAAACTTCCCCCGCATCGTAAAGGCGTTGATCTCCACATTGAGATTGAAAAGGATCAAGACGGAAACGAGAAGACCATTCCATGGGGTCCGCTCTACGGCATGAGCCGAGAAGAGTTACTAGTGCTTAGGAAAACTCTCACCGAGCTGTTAGACAAGGATTTTATCCGCGCTAGTAACTCTCCCGCAGCCGCACCCGTCCTAATGGTTAAAAAGCCAGGAGGGGGCATCCGATTTTGCGTTGACTACCGAGGCTTGAACAACATCACCAGGAAGGACCGTTACCCTCTGCCTCTATTCACAGAAACACTGAGAAATGTGGCCAAAGCTAAATGGTTCACAAAACTTGACGTTATCGCAGCCTTCCACAAGATCCGTGTGGCCAAAGGAGAGGAATGGAAGACAGCTTTCCGAACAAGATACGGCCTATTCGAATGGCGGGTTGCTCCCTTCGGACTAACAGGAGCACCAGCCGCATTTCAACGCTACGTAAATAGTGTTCTGCAGGATTACCTTGACGACTTTGTTTCAGCCTACGTTGACGACATCTTGATCTACTCGTCAGGATCGCTTCAGGATCACAGAGAGAAGGTTGGAAAGGTTCTTCAACGCCTCATAGACGCTGGACTGCAGATTGATATCGACAAGTGCGAGTTCGAGACTAAACGAGTTAAATACCTCGGGTACATTGTGGAAGCAGAAGTGGGTATTCGAGTTGACCCTGAAAAGATTATCGCAATCCGCGAATGGGCTACACCAACGTCAGTTAAGGCTATCCGAGCATTTATTGGTTTTGCCAACTTCTACCGAGTTTTTATACCGAACTTCTCGGACATTGCTGAACCGCTCATCAACCTAACTAAGAAAGAGATGGTTTTTCATTGGGACGAGGCTTGCAATCAAGCATTTGAAACGATTAAGGAACTTCTCATTACAGCACCAATACTCGGCCATTTTGATCCAGAGAAGGACACCTTAGTAGAAGCCGACTCCTCAGGACATGCAACTGGCGGCCTATTGCTGCAGAAGGACAAGAACAACAACTGGCAACCCGTTGCTTACTACTCAAAGAAGCACTCACCAACAGAGGCCAATTATCCAATTCATGACAAGGAGCTTCTAGCTATTGTTCGTTGCTTAGAAGCATGGGCTCCTGAACTACGTATGGTTAGGAAGTTTACAGTTCTGACGGACCACAAGAACCTCCAATACTTCTACCGCGAACGACAGCTGTCTGAAAGACAAGTACGTTGGTCAGAGTTTCTCTCACGATTCGACTTCTCCCTGGAATGGAAACCTGGAAAGACTATGGGAAAACCCGACGCCCTATCACGACGAGAACAAGACCTACCCGCCAACTATGACGATGAACGAATACGGTCTCGATTTATCCGTCTCTTCCAGAGCAAGCACTTGCGGAGTGTTCAAATCCAGTCTCTATCGTCTGAGGAGATTGACTTCACAAAAGAGATACGCATGTTTGAGGACCAGGAGATGCAGAATCTGTGGCACCGAAGCCGCCAAGAAGATAAGCTTTATCAGGAGCTTACTACACTAGTAGCAAATAAGGAGAGGAACCTCCCTACTAAGCTTCAGAAGGAGAAGTTAGTGAGTATAGCAGAATGCACCCTAGACGAGAGAGGCTTGTTACGATTTCGAGACCGGACATGGATCCCTCACTGCGAACCACTCCGCACGCGAATCATTCAAAATATTCACGACTCGCATATTACTGGCCACCCCGGACGAGATCTTACCTACTCAATCTTATCAAGGCAGTTCTTCTGGTCAGGTGCAGCAAGCGACGTGCGACGCTTTGTCCGTAACTGCGAGATTTGCGGAAGGAATACGATATGGAGAGAAACAAAGAAGGGCCTCCTTAAACCATTACCGATCCCAGAACGTATATGGGGGGAACTTTCAATCGATTTCATTACCGACTTGCCGCCATCTGGACGGGATAACGCAACGAACTGTATGGTGGTCACTGATCGGCTGACAAAGGGAATTGAACTAGAAGGTATGCACGATATCTCGGCACAAGCCGTAGCACAACGACTTTTCGAACGGCATTATCCTATTCACGGTATTCCAACGGCAATTACGAGCGATAGAGGACCACAATTCGTTAGCGATCTTTGGAAGCATTTCTGTAAGCTCCTTAGCGTTGAGCAACGCCTGTCGACTGCCTACCATCCGCAAACCGATGGTGCAACAGAACGAATGAATCAAGAGATTGAAAAGATGATTCGAATCTGGGCCACGTACACGCAAGAAAACTGGCTGGCACTTTTACCTGTCGTTATGGGAGCAATCAACAACCGCGAGGCCTCATCCACTGGCCTAAGCCCCTTCTATTTCATGCACGGATATCACAATGAACCTATTCAGCTAGTAGAGGATCGAACTATTCAGGACCGACCAAAGAAAGATGGCGAAGCACTAGCAGAAGGCTTCCTCAAAAGACTCCAAGATGCAACAGAGTGGGCCCAAGCCGCGATCGCGATGACACAAGAGAAACAGCAGCATCAGGCTAATAAGACAAGAACAGCAGCGCCCCAATACAAGGAGGGAGACTGGGTGTTTCTAAACCTTAGAAACGTGAAGACAACACGACCTTCCAAGAAGCTAGACTGGTTGCATGGAAAGTATAAAGTCTTGAAGCAGGTCAACTCCCACTCTTATAAGCTTGACGTTCCGGGAAAAATCCATCCTGTCTTTCACGTAGACCTGCTTCGCTACGCGCCTGACGACTCTTTCCCATCGCAGAAGGTTGGAGACACTCAGCCAGGGCCTATACTTATAGATGGAGACGAGTTATGGCTGGTTGAGCGTATTCTGGGCGAACGGACAATAGGGCAAGGAGGGAAAGGAATCAAGGAGGCATATGTGAAGTGGGTGGACTATACTGCACAGTCCGCAACAATCAATTAAGTGGGTCCTAGAAGGTTCAGATTGGATTGATTGATTACCGCTTTAAGCCTAGTAGTTACCTATAGGAGTTTAAGCCCTACCTAGATAGGTAAGTGGGTCTAGGAGAGTGACCGGATTGAATTGATTGTTGCGGAGTCTACTATACTGAACCGACATGGGAACCAGTGAGCAACGTACTAAAGACTGACGCTTGGAAGAAATGGAAAAAACTACACGCTAAAGGGAAAGGAGGGGGGTAATGTAACGGGCTGAGCCCTAAGTCACATGACTAGGCTGCGAGCCTAGTCGCTTCCCCGGCAACGAGAGGGCCGTGCGCCAACCCAAACAAAGCGGGCTCGCCGCTCGCGTCTTACCTTCTTTCTTCATCTTGACTGTAAATAGCATCTGGACTAGGTAGCTGGAATACAGTTCCTACAGACCGTTCACATCCGTTAGTTCACCGGCTATTGCTATTTGGCAGTGCTGTACCAGGTTTTTCTCGCAGACATAGAAGACTTTCTTCCCCTTAAGCTTGACCTTGTTTCGGCGGAACCAAGTATCGTGGTTTTCAGCTGTAAGTTGGGGAATCTTCCATTCTTCCTTCTCTACAGCCATCTTGTGTGTTTTGAGTTGGTGAGACTATTATGCGAGCAAGGTACGTGGTATGATGCTAAGAGTGTAGGTGATGCGGGCGATGCGGGCGATACAGGCGATGCGGGCGATGCGGGCGATCCGGGTGATATTCTGCGGGCGGTGCAGTCGTTATCGGTTCTCGGGTGTAGAGACGGTGTATTTAAGTGTGATTGCGTGTTAACCGCGTTGTACACGACTTCTTTTCTTTTCTGATTCCTTCTTGAATCTAAGTCCTTCGTGACTTGGGTGGATGTTTTGATTCCTTCTTGAATCTGAGTCCTTCGTGACTCGGGTAGGTGTTTGAAAACAATAACGTTGGGTTAGGCAACCGGGCTCATAACCTGTTAGAACAAGGTCTCCTCTGGTGGTATGACTACCATAGGCGACCGAGTAGAGGTACGAAAGGTAACCCTGTATTGGATTGAACTTCACTAAGAGCTATTGTTCTATCTACTTGTTGTTATGATGATCTTAGGACGTACATGACAGATCATCATCCCGCGTCGGTCCTTCTGCTCGGGCTTACTCCACGAACCTCACCTCGCCGACCTGGACTGAACCTAACATATTCTTAACAAAAAACAATATTTCCTTATCTAAAAGAGCCCGCTGCTACATCTCTTTCTATTCACCACACTGCTCTTTAGCACCCGCGCCAATGGAAGACTAGCTCTGAAATTGGAGTACGCAAAACACCACCCAAATTGTACAAGACCCATAGAAACTCCACAACGACCATCATACATAGAACGGCTTAGCCAAAGTCCTACATAGTCACCGACTGATACAGGACTCTAATTGTCGGCATACACACGGTGTGTCGCCTAATAAGGCCCAATGTACCGCCTCGATCCTACTTCGGCCCAACTCGGACCCAACGTTATGTATACCTTCGTAGCCCCCACATTCGTAGAATCATCATACACCAGAATACCAATACACAAGATTACCTTAGCTACTGTTATTCACCGTACGATCGTACAAGGCCTTCCAACACTGATCAGTGATTGCACGGCAGTCACAGACAGTTAGGTTAAGAAGAGATAGATTCTTTACCCCGCGCGTTCCCTAGATTGCCTATATCAGCAAGGCGGAGTTATCTATGCTAAGCTCACTGTTAGCTATATCAGGCGTCGTTCGTGGCTAGCGACCGACCGTTACAGCCGTATCAGAAGCGTTCCAAGACGCCGTCTATACACGCGCCAACCGACCGGTTGAGATTTGACCCGTGTACAACCCACGACCACCGACGCATCTCTAGCGAACGCAGCTAGCGCAACAAGCGTCAACAAGAACACAATGGCAGGAGAGAGAACATCATCGGAAAGAGCACCGGTAGCCAGGACGCCGGCAGTAGGAATGGCGAGCAGTAGTAGAAGAGTGGTACCCAGACTCCGCAACAATCAATCGATTGACATGATTGATTCCTATATAGGTTAAAGAATTACTTCATTAGGCAGCCTTTAACCTAGATAGGAATCAATCATGCCGATCCGATTGATTGTTGCGGAGTCTGGTGGTACCCACACTAGAGGCGCTACTAGGGACCACAAACATAAAACCAAGAGAATGGCATCACATCGATCCAGAGATGTGGGAGGACAACCTTGAAGCTCCAGACGATGAGGTAGGGATTACTACAGCAACAACGTACATTGCGCGTGCGATTGCGGACTATACAGATCGACCAACAGCAGATGAAGAACTCTTTTGGGAGTTCCGTCAGGACTTTGAAGGATGGACAGAGGCAATGTTCCTACGTGCCCAGCCAATATACACAAAGGAACTAAAGCGGATCCTCCGCTTTAAGGGAGTGTATACTGGCCGTATTAATATGGCACCTAGTGAGTCTCTAGCTAGGTTATTACGCATGGAGGAGTACCTAGAATGGCCTCAGGACGTATTCCAGTCGGCTGTGTTTGACACACGATCAGCTGCGCACATGTTGCAAGAGCGGGCACTACGGCAACAACGCAGTGAAGGATCAGTACAGTCCACAGACAGGAGATTATCAAGCCAGGCCCAGAGCCGAACCCAAACGCCTGTAAGGACAAGAGGCCGAGACGTAGACAGTCGGCAAACCCGCGATCAAGACCAGACCCACGCCCGTGTGCAAGGACGACAGGAGACCGTTGAGGAAGAACAACAGATTCAGGACCAGCTAGCAAAAACGATTGAGAAAGCCCAAAACCAACCAATCCGAAGCCAGCCTGTAGAGACAACTGAATCCGCACCGCAGCCAGCCTATCAGCGCGTCCAAAGTCAGCAACCTCCCCTCACCTACAACAACTTCGACCGATTCCGCGAGTATACACCAGCATACCCGCAACGTCCGAAGGGACCGAGCGTTCCCCAATTGTGCCCTCTGGTGAAACAGACCCGTACAAGGCAGTTCCACCAATCGAGTTTAGCAATGAGAAACTAGATCCTAAGACGATCAATGTCTTCGTGAAAATGTGGGACCGAGACAAAAAGTATACGGGAAAGCCGTACGACCTCCTAGACGATAAATTGAAAATCTTCTACAGCATCTGTTATCACGCAGACATCGAGCCAGGGCAGTTCCATGCAGTCTTTCCACGGATTCTCGACGGCCGCGCAGAGGAGTATTACCACAGTCCGCAACAATCAATTAAGTGGGTCCTAGAAGGTTCAGATTGGATTGATTGATTACCGCTTTAAGCCTAGTAGTTACCTATAGGAGTTTAAGCCCTACCTAGATAGGTAAGTGGGTCTAGGAGAGTGACCGGATTGAATTGATTGTTGCGGAGTCTAAGTATTACCTCCACTTCGTCGATCAGCGGATGGATACGTTCTTGACTGCCTACACAAAGCTCAAGAACCACTTCGACACAGACGTCAACCACGGCCATTACTACGCGGACTGGACGACGACATCGTTTGTCAAAGTCCGCAGGGAGAACCCCGAAAAGAACCTCCACGAGGTCCTTGACATCATGCTGGACAAGCTCCAATTGTGTCAAAGAGCACTTGGACAGCAGTACATGGGAGAATACGCGCTCCGAACGACTGTAATCACAGCATGCCGAGGCGTGAAGGAGCTCGAGATGGCACTCTACAAGCCGTCTCTAGAATGCGAGGTTCTGTTTGGAGATCTGCGATCGTCAATCGAAAACTCACTCGCCATGACCGTCTCCGTCAACTTCACTGAGGCGGATACGGATAGCCAGTACTACTTGGATCGTCGGTACAACAACAACAGCTCTGGAAGATTGCGAGGGAATTACAACCCTCGTGGTGGACGCAGCGGATTCACCCGCGGACGCGGTGGGCTTCAGCACCGCTCTGGAGTCAACACACAAATCGACAAGAAATGTTACGTCTGCAGCAAGACAGGCTGTTGGTCCACAAACCATACGCTTGAAGAAAGAAAACGCTCAAAAGCGCAGTACATCACACACTGCGCGATTACGGGAGAGCAAATGGAGTTTAGCACATTTCTCGTCGCGTACGAGGGGGAAGAAGTCGACCAGTTCTTCCTAGAGGAGCAAGACGAAGATGATGAAGACCAAAGACTGGCAGTTAAGTACCTCACAGATCAGGCCTTTCTGCACCACGTGACCGGAGAAGACGTCTACAGGTGCAAGGAGCCTATTACGCCCGCAACGCAGTTCCTTATCGAGGATCGATACTCGCGAATCACGTACCAAGGCATTCTTCCTGACACTGGTGCCTCAAATGTATCGACAGCCGGAAAGGAGCAGTTCCTGGCGCTCCAAACTGAGGACCCCACCGTAACTCTAGATACGTCTACTGCTGGAAACGCATCTGTGCAATTTGGCAAAGGAAGCGTCACTACTTCGATTGGAACCGCACATGTATCGACACAGATTGGAAAGATCAAATTTGAGGTCTTGAACGCACCCACCCCGTTTCTCCTCTGTCTGAAAGACATGGACCGGCTCCACGTGTACTTCAACAATACTACGGACCAGCTGGTACAAGGAAAAGCTACCTTTCCAGTGATTCGCAAATGGGGACACCCGTGGTTCCACCTAAGCAAGGCAGAGCGCGCGCGCGTATTCCTTACGGAGACTGAGCTCCGACGCTTACACCGGAGGTTCGGGCATCCAGCCGTCGAACGGCTGATACGATTGCTCAAACGCGCAGGACACGAGGACGTGGATGAACGGCTGCTCCGAGAGATCCAAACGTTCTGCCATCACTGCCAAGCGCATGATCCAGCGCCGCGCCGATTCAAGTTTAGGCTGAAAGATGATCGGGAATTCAACTTCGAGATCCTCGTAGATGTGATGTATCTGAGTGGGAAACCAGTGCTTCACGTGATCGATTCGGCTACAACATTCAACGGCGCGCGATTTCTACCGTCTATGAGCGCGAAAGACACCTGGGAAGCACTCCGCCTGCTCTGGATTGATACATATCAAGGGCCGCCAGATATCGTCACCCACGACGCTGGCACTAACTTCGCGTCAGTCGAATTCAGATCAGAGGCGAAGATCATGGGAATCACATGTAAACAAGTGCCAACCGAGGCCCATTGGTCTATCGGCAAGGTAGAAAGATACCACGCACCGCTCAGACGCGCGTACGAGATCCTGAGGACAGAGCTTGACACTGGCACCAGCGACGCCGCAGTGTTGCAGATGGCAGTCAAGGCCGTCAACGACACCGCAGGCCCAGACGGGCTCGTACCCACGCTGCTCGTCTTCGGTGCATACCCCCGGATATCCATGGATTCACCACCATCTCCCTCGATAACCCATCGCGCAGAGGCAATCCAGAAAGCGATGAGGGCGCTGCGGAAGGCTGCAGCGGAACATGCAGTGAGCAACGCACTTGGTACCAGGAATGGGCCTACCACAGACGGGGTACTATCACTGCCTCTTCAGAGTGAGGTGATGGTATGGCGCGAGAAGAATGGATGGCAAGGGCCGTATAGAGTCATCGATATGAAGGACCACGATGTTACTGTAGACATGATCAACGGCCCAACGACGTTCCGATCCACTGTCGTAAAACCGTACTATCGCGATCTGACTACAGCGATAGACGGCGCAGATCAAGGCACAGGTGGATCTCCGACCACAGACGAAGCGATTGCTGATGAACCGCCACTACCGGTACCACCGGCGGAAGCCACCCAAGCGGCTCAGCCGCGCAAGCGGGGCCGCCCACCTGGATCAAAGAACAAGCCCAAGGTGCAGTACCTGTCGAAGAAGGAGGAGGACGATTACGCCCTGGCCGTCAAGCTACGCAATGACGGCGTGATTAACGTCCCGGGCGCTCCATTCGAAGCATCCGATCAGAAGGAGATCGACGACCTCGTCGGCCGTGGAGTATTCAGTTTTGAGCTGTTTGACCCAACTCTACACGGCGGGTATCGTATCTTTAAATCGCGCATGGTCCGCGAAGTCAAAGGCAAGACCATGGTCCCGTACGAGAAATCACGCCTCGTTGTTCAAGGTTACAATGACGAGGGCAAACACGAGATCCTGACGCAGTCGCCAACCATCCAACGAGCCAGCCAACGCCTGATTCTAGCCCTAGCGGCCTGCATTACTCGATGAGGGCATGGTTGTTGGACTACGAGATATCACGCAAGCGTACCCACAGCACAAACAGAGCTTATTCCGCACGTTTTAGCGCACCTTCCAAAGAGCTTATAACAAAGTATCCCGAGGGAACAATTATTCGCGTAATCAAGCCACTCTATGGAATCGCGGAAGCAGGAGTCCACTGGTTTGCTACGTACCAAGGACACCACTGCAAGGAGCTCGACATGGCTACATCAACGTATGACCCGTGCCTCCTGATCACGAACGGGAGACGGGAAGCGTTTGGAATAGTGGGCCTGCAGACAGACGATACTCTCGCGATTGGGACGCCTGCATTCTCTGGTGCAGAAGACGCTGCGCTCCAGAAAGCCAATTTTCGAGCCAAGCCCAAGGAGAGACTGTCCAAAGAAGTATCACTCGAGTTCAACGGATGTACTCTAACGTTGCGCGGAGACACGATTCTACTTACGCAGAAGGGACAAGGTGCCAAGATCGAAATTATTGATCCGAAGGCAGCAAACCGAGCACAGAAGTACATGGAGCAGCGCGCGCGTGGCGCGTACATTGCGTCGATATGCCAACCTGAAGCATCGTTCGATCTTTCCGCGGCTGCGCAAATACAACAACCTAAGGACACGGAATACGTGAAGCTTAACCGCCGGCTGCAGTGGCAATCTGAGAGCATACAACGAGGCCTGCGATACGTCCCTCTCGACCTCGCTACAGCAAAGCTGGTAGTGTTCACAGACGGATCCTTCGCGAACAACCAAGACCTTAGCTCACAGCTAGGGTACCTACTTATCCTTGCGAATGAGTCGAGTCGACAAGACAGCACGTTTGATATTCGTGGTAACGTAATCCATTGGAGTTCGACCAAATGCAAACGCGTTACCCGGAGCGTTCTTGCCTCAGAAACGTACGGCATGGTTAGCGGTGTCGACATCGCTATCGCTATCCTAACAACCCTCAAGATAATTACAGGACGCCTAGGTCTACCACCGATCCCACTTATTGTGTGTACGGATTCATACTCCTTGTATGAATGCCTCGTCAAACTCGGAACAACTGCTGAGAAGCGACTGATGATCGACATCATGGCGCTTCGGCAGTCATACGAGCGTCGCGAGATCACTGAGATCCGCTGGATCAACGGAGAGGACAACCCCGCGGACGCATTCACGAAAGCAACACCAAATCGCGCGTTAGAACGTTTCATCGAAAGCAACAAGCTGTCAATCCGAGTAGAGGGATCTGTGCAGCGACCTACGGAGTAGGCACATATGCCTATTTGGAATCCCTCTCAGTGTGTTCTTTTTAGAAGACCCGTTTTTCCTTACATCAGTCGTTACAATAAGAAAAGATTGCCAGTGTCGGCATACACACGGTGTGTCGCCTAATAAGGCCCAATGTACCGCCTCGATCCTACTTCGGCCCAACTCGGACCCAACGTTATGTATACCTTCGTAGCCCCCACATTCGTAGAATCATCATACACCAGAATACCAATACACAAGATTACCTTAGCTACTGTTATTCACCGTACGATCGTACAAGGCCTTCCAACAAAAACAAAGAAATTGAATTTGTTTATCAGCCTACTACTACTCTATTAGCAGATAGCCTTACTAAATCTGTTAATACACAAAAGATTAACGAGTTTAAGGTAGAAGCAAATATACTACCATACTTAGGAGAGTAGTAGTTGTCAGATAACAGGGTTCTGATGGGAATCATAATAATTGTGGTTGAACGTGTGTATTGTGGTGTGTGGTGCAGTCTCGTGGGGGATGAGACGGAAGGTCGCCCTGTCCTAGTCCCTCTTGGGACTAGGGGGTCTACGTAACGTGATGATCTCCAACTCCGTTGCCTTCCACCCAAAATCTACCTCATATCTGACAGTAGTAGAAAAACAAAATAACTAGTTATCCTAAATTGTCCTCTAACTAGTTATATTATCTAGATAATAGCTATAGATTGATAGAAGGCTATTGTCTATAAGTATTAAGCTAACTAAGCTTAAGGGGGCGTGTTGAATAATAAGCTTAGATAAGCACTAGCATAGATCTAGTAAGAGATCTACTTGCTTACGTGTCAATGAGTAAGGACGCGTAATCTATGACATAATAGATTACGTAGACCAAGAATGAGAGGAATCTTCGAGAATACTTAGAACATGTATATAAGCTATAGCTAGCACGTTAGTAGCTCGGCGTCTAGCCTTCACTCCTTTACTCTATAGATATACTTGTCAATCTATTATATCTATATTTATACTCTAGTTCCCTACTTCCGCTAGATTACTAATAGTATTACTATATCTATTAGTAATCTTCCTCCGACTCCTTCTTACATAAGATACAAGTACTAGATTCACTCGGAAGCGCCTTGTGTACGGTAACTACCGTAGTTTCTCTAATACGAACAGAACGTGTAGAGCACTATTAGCATAACCCATGTAAGATACAAGTACCGGATTCACTCAGAAGCGCCTTGTGTACGGTAACTACTGTAGTTTCTCTAATACGAACAGAACGTGCAGAGCACTATCAGCATAACCTATGTAAGTGTCAGATTTTTATGGATGGGATCAAGTGTGTATTCTCTGTGTCTGTCTACGGCTCTGTCTGTGGGAGGTGGCCTCGCCTCGGGCTTGGCAGTGCTAAGTCCCGGCGCTAGCCCTGGTTTGGGGGTCTCATGTCCTTCCCCAACCACCATCGGCTCGATCATGGAGCAAAACCTCGCCTCAATCTGACACACCCCCTCAGCTCGGCGCTCCTCGGCAGCCTGAGGTGGAGTGGTCTTTGCGACATTCATACCGGACTATATAACAAGACTTTCCATCTTCTCCAGAATTTCCTCTGGATCTGCTTCCTCTACGTCTCGTTCCTTCACTTCAACCAGTCCGACCTGCGTCAAGAACTGGGGCCAGTTGTTGGCAGGCAGGGTCTTCGTGAAACCATCGGCGAGCATTTCGCCAGACGGTACATACACGACTCTGATAGACTTTCGCTTTGCCTCTTGCCTCAGCCAGTGATTGTGGATGTCCACGTGACGGAGTTTCGTCGTCAGCTGAGAGATCTCCTCGTTGATCAGCCGGATCGTCTGCGTATTATCGCACTGTATCGTAATTGTCTTCTCCGTCAACTCTACCCGAAGCTCCTCTAGCAGCATCCGCACAAACATGGACTCCTTAGCCACTTGCGATAGCGCGAGGAGTTCTGCTTCGGTCGTAGATGTCGTGATGGTATCTTGTTTGTTCGCCCTCCATGCGATCAGTCCTCCAAATAGCTTGATAACGTACCCTTGGGAGCTCTTGCGATCCGCGGTGTTGTCCGCAAAGGATGCATCGCTAGCTACTACCAATTGGTCGTCTCCTCCGAATGATAAGGATAGAAGCTTGGTTGACTCCAGGTACAACAGCACTCGGTCAGCGGCTTCTTGATGTAGTGGACCAGGGTTTGTGAGGAACCGGGCGAGTCGTGATACTGGGAATGCGACATCGGGTCGGGTGTTGACGGCGGCGAAGAGTAACGATCCAATCTTGCGTTGATACAAGTTAATCTCTCCAGGAGTCGCCAAACCCTCACGTGCAACTAGTTCGACTCTAGCCATTGGTGTGTTGTGTCGTTGGTCCTTGTTCGTTGCCAGCCGTGCAATCTTCTCAACATAAGCTTTCTGTGACAGCCAGATCTTTCGCTTCTCTCGGTCCCGTATAACTTCTACTCCTAAAAACCACTGCAAATCCTTTCCTCCGGTCAGGTTGTATCGCTGTTTCAGTTCCTCTTCCACTTTCTGAGCTACTTCCGCGTGCCGTTTCGAAGAGGCAAGGATAATGTCATCAACATAAAAGAAGATGAACACTCCGTCTCGGATCATGCAGCGAAATTCGTGGGGGACTGGCGAGAACCCGATTCTAGGAGGAAGGGCAGTGAAGTGTCTTTGCCAGAGCAATGCGAGATCCGTAGGCCGTACAGCGCTTTGTTTAGTTGCAGTATTGTTCCCTGCTTCCTGTATCCTGGGGGCATCCGCATGTACACTGTTCGATCAATATCTGCGTTGACGAAGGCGTTCGATACGTCGTATTGCTTCAGCTCTAGGTCAAACCGGGCCGCAATCGACACTAGCATCCGAAACGATCTTCCGGCTAGTGTAGCAGCGTAGGTTTCTTGTGCGGTGACATTTCGTTGCTGGTCTCCACGCACTACCAATCGCGCCTTACACTTCTGGAATCGATGGTGCTTGTCAAATTTGTAGGGGTATACCCACATTGAGTCCAGTACCTGCTGGTCGGTCTTTCGAGCCGTCTTCGCCGGGACCTCTGACCAGGATCTGGTTTCCTTGTGGCTATGGAGATGTGTAATCTCAGCCTCTTTGAAAAAAATAGAACAACTCGTGATCCTCTCGCAGGCCGTTCGCTTGGGGAGGCGGTGGCAGCTGGCTGCGATGAGGCTTCTTGCCGTTTCGCATCATACGCTCAAGCTTTGCCTTGTCCAGTCGCTCTCCTGCCAAGTTTTGAACGTTCCTGCCTTGGTGCCTGCCATAAAGGCGGCTGCCCATGGCTCCTTCAACATCCTGTGTTCCGGATGGAGGATACCACTCGCGAGACCTTGTTTGCCGTAGCTAGTGTCAAGACCTTGTTCCCGTAGGCAGTCTCTTCGGATTGTAGGCCGAGCTCCGCATCGCA